CATTCCTCACCTCCCCTAGTCTCCTCTGTGGCCAGTGCTAGCACCACCAGCTCAGTTATGAGTGACATGTCGTCACTTCATCACAAAAATAAAATTGGTCTGATCCAGGATTACTTTGACGAAGCAAAGAAGTAATTTGTTTGGATCCCTTACTCCTCCTGGTCATATTGGGTCCTTTAGGTTTGTAGGTAAAGCCTTGGAGTCTGATGAAAAAGGAGAGAGACTGCCAGCTCTTGAATTATACAATAAAGCATTGAAGTCAGCTCAATCTGGACTTGCCATTATACAAGAGAGCCGTGAGGTAACGTCAGCCATGAAAGAAATAAAGAAGAAATTGGAAAAGTAATTGTCATTGTAAATGTACAATTGTGCCGGTATTTATTTATTTATTTTATAATTCTTTTTAGGTTAAAGGGTCAAGTTAAAAGTAGAATGGAGTCGTTGCTTGAGAAGGAAGAAGAGAAACGATTGTCAAGATCCTTACCAAAGACTCAAACTCATACTTCCAGACCTACAGACTCAGTTTCAAGCAGTATGGGAATGAAATCAGTGTCAGGAGGAGGAAAGAATAATAAAGATACTTTGGGCGGAGCTGAGGCTGAAATTGTATTCTCGTCCAGTTCAGGTTAATTAACTAATAGTTAATTAACTATTTATTAATAATTAACAGGTTGTAAGGTTATCCGCGTTAATGAAAGTGGGTGTGTCTTAAACTGTATGCCTTCAGAAGCTATGCACATCTTTCGATACAAAGAGCATATACCAGGTGGGTGGAGCTAGTTATTAATAGTTATTATACCAGCTCTAGGTCAGCCTCCAGCGTTCATCCAATGTGGTGACTTTGTATACCCACTGGTGCCCGGTCAATCACCTGTACTTAGGAGCAGCCAGTTTGCTTACGTCTTCCCTGACATTGAGAATAACGGACACACCGTTGGTATTGTGTTCAGCGAAGGATTGACCAAGAATGAGATAAGGGAATTGAATCAGGTGAGAAGCAGCTTTGAAAATTTGTAAAAAAAATTAAATGAGATCAGAATTGTCTCAAAATTCAAATATAACATAAGATCATGTTTATGTGTTAGATAATTTTTATTATTTTAGACTTTGAAAGTGTTGAGTGACTTTAAAGTTTCTGAATCATCAGGAGCAGCTGCTGGGGACTCAAAACCTGAACTAGAAGACACGCCCACTTGGGGTGGATCAATATCAGAAGTACATTAATCACAATAAATTATTAATGATAATAATAATTAATGATAATAATAATTATTAATGATAATAATAATTATTGTTGTAGAAAATAGAATCTGGTGTTAGCTGGGTATCTGGTGTCATTAGCACTGGCACAAATAAAGCTGGTGAACTACTAAACAAGGTTTGTTGTTGTTTTTTGTTGTTTGTTGTTTTACTTGTTTATTAAACAAAGGGTGGGGACAAACTGAGGGATAATATTGAGCCGAGGGAGCAGCCTGTGGAAATACCTCAATCAGTTGAAAAAGGAGCATACTATGCTAGAAGAGCAACTGGTAATGTACATCATTAATAATAATTATTATTATTATTTTATTATTATTGTACAGGTGCTGTAGTTGGGGTGAGTGATTTCTTGATGGTCACACTGGCCAAAGGAACTGTTGCTGTGGGGA